GAATATATATATATATATATATATATTTGATTTTTTTTANATTTAAAAATATCGGTTGATCACCCTAACCACCCAAAACCAGAACCGGCCACTGGCTGGTTCCGATCTAACTGAGCGGTTAGCGGTTAGATCAGGGCGATTTTGCGAACAATGAATACAATGTCAAACAATGCCAAACACAACCACTAGTGTGTGGTTTCTAAATTATCACTGTAATGAAACCATGCTGCCTAGTCTACTTTGCCTTCATGGTCTGGGTACGTTTGACAAAATAGAATCTGAATATTTAAATTTTTTGAAAATTTGAATAAACATATTGCCTATTTTTCATATATCTGGATTATATATTATCTGTTATATTATTTTTCTTTTAATCTATTTGATTATATACTTTTATAATTTTCATAGATTTAAAATTTCTAACTCTTTTATTACTATAAAAAAGAAGAAGCAGAATTTGTTGTTTTGCTTTTTCGGTTTATGTACTTTTGCTATAACATAGAAGATCCATGCTTCCCCTATTCAGCTGTCTAATTTTGATCAAGAGAGTTGCTCATTGTTTGATCTTAGATTCAACATCTCAAAGTATTTTATTTTTAATTTTTTTATACAAATTATATGAATATAAAATTTGGTACGTGCCATCTTCTCATTGTGGCGTACCTATAAAAAATATTAAAACTAATCTTTTGATAAAATATAATGATCAAAATACCTCTTGAATTTTTCAGGGGTATTTTGGTTAATATATTTTATTGGAAATATTTTTTTTTATATTTTTAGTTAGTGGGAGTTTAATAGAGGATTGGACTCGTAAAATTTGGTGTCAAAATAGTTATAGAAAAAAAAATTAAAAATAAAATAGTGTAGAGAAAAGTTTATATAGAGCTGAGGCTCTGAGCAATCAAATTAGAGCCCATCTCAAAAATTTCACTAGAAAAGGTTGTTTTGATGTTTAAATATCCTCAAATTGATCATCTCGACATCAAGATGCATGGACATGAGAAAAAAATGATTTCAAGTTTTGAAAATATTGTATTTTGTAACATATTTTTGGATTGTCAATTTTCAAGATTTCATAGATCTGTTGATCTACACTATTTTTTAGGCTTTAAACTTTATAAATACAGATGAAAATATACTTTATGGCTAGCACAAATATTTTCAACATTAAAATCACATTTCTCGACACCATTTGAAGGTAGGCTCTAATTTGATTGTTTAGAGCCTAGGCTCCATACAAACCGCACCCTTTTCTAATTAGGCGGATGTTTAATTGTCACGTGTTCACGGCGTCATAAGGTTTCCATTTCCCTAGCATCTCCATTTGCCTGTTCTGCAAAAGCTCTTGGGGTTTAAGAGAGGTTCTGCCTTGCCACTAAGACCACAGCCCGCAGAAAGCCCTTTAATGGCTTTTTCCAGATTACTACTCTTCAGAACCTCTCTCAGTCCTCTTCCTTGTTTTCTCTCTCTAAAACTACCCATTCCTTCCATATCTTGTGTTAACTTCTCCTCATGCTCTTCCCCTAGGTATTTTTCTTCTCCTTTTCTTGGACTTTTGGGAAATTCACACCATGTGTTCTTCTGTAATGGAAATTATACTCTGCCCAAGTCGAGTTTCTCTGCAAAGTTACATATTGAAAGCTTCGAAAAGGTTGAACAGAGTATTACAGCAGGGGCTTCACATCCTTGGCCGGAATGGGTTGAGTTCACGGAGATGTTGAGGAGTAGGGGCTATCTTGATCAGACTTATTCGGATGGAGTATTAGACGATGATGAAGTTCCAAAAGACTTGAATCGAGTTCAAACTGCCTGCGTGACCTTTGCTCGCGAGCGCTTTGACATTCTCAAGTAGGTGAATTGAACTGAATTTTCTAGTTATATTTTGGTGATTTGTTTAATCGTTTTAGTGTCCTTTATTCAGTCAAGGTCTTCCTTGAACTGTTATTTTATTGAAAAGACCACCACAACTGTTTGCTTGTATGCTCCAACGCTGAAATATGGCTTTTACTCTCTTTTTTTCCCCACAGGTTTGTTTTGATGGGTCGGTCATAGTTTGTTGTTTACGAGGACTAACTTGAGATATTGTCAACATGAAGTCCTTGCTTGAAACTGGTAGTTTATGATGTTAGGGTCTTTGTGTTCTGTAACTTTGATTATTTGAATGATTGGTATTGTAATAAAATTTAGATTTAGGGATATTTGCGTTATATGTTAAACTGCTTTCTCAATAGTTGTTGATTCATTGCAGATGACTGTCAATGTGTTCCATGCTTCTTGACATGATTGCCACTTGGAAGGTAGCATTTGAATAATAGACAGTCTTTTCTAGATGAATAATTATGTTTCTGAATTTTTTATGATACTGTAAATTGCAGTGCTTTAGAGATTCATCTTTGGTAAGATGACTAAATGGGAGTAACATAATAGAATGCATTGCCCTAGTTTTGTAGGAATTTTTTTGTTGGAGCCACATCTAAGGGACATAATATTATTATTCACTTCCTTAAACTTCAATGAATACAGAAGTGTGACACATCTCATATGGAGATTTCTCTCAATGCAAATGGTCATCCTTAAGGTTCTGGGAATGACTGAAGCTATGGTTGTATCCAATGTTGACTATGGAGTAGGCAGTGAGTTGTGTGCATATGTCTTAAAGCCTGCCAATACCATAATTGAATAGAAAGCAACCTTCACTAGATAACTTTATCATCGACGATCAATCGACAACAGGTTGCTTCCCACCTACACTAGATGGCTTTATCATCGCCGATCGATAGATACCAGGTTGCTTCCAGTGAGGGAGGTAGTAATTAATGGAAACTTGGGACACATCGAGTTAAATTGAACTTCAAAAAGTGGTATTAATTGGGTCAAGACTGTGGTGCATTTGATGTCTTTATGATTTTATTTACTCCAAAGCACAGTTATTGCATGGAATTGCATACCAATTAGAAGAAATTGCATGAGCAATGCTCATTACTTATTGTAGTTGGACACTTCATATGAATCCCAATGGCAAAGTTATGGTTTTGTGGAAAAAGAGAAGGCAGGGAGTTGGTTGGATGAGGCTAGGAGGAAGGGATTTGTTGGAAAATTACAGGCTGAATGGAGTTAACAAAAACAGATTGAGGAAGAATAACTGGGCATGGCATGTGGTTCAAAATACTGTCTTCAAGGCACTGATTTCCTTATCTATGAAAATTCAAGACATTGCATTTGCTCCCCAGAAACAACCTTCCTAGTAATCAATGCCCTTCATATGATGATTTTTGTAATTATATAAAACATAGTGAATCGATAGGCACAGACACTAGTATTTTGCTTGAACTTTGTATGTTTGATTGATTGCCTGACATACCGAGTGTATAATGCAATGTTGAAATACTTTGCTAGGACTCAGGACTCGGCCTCCACTTGAGTCAAGTAACTCAGACTCGCTTGAGTATTGTACATGCATTAAAATGCCTATAGAAAAGAAAAGAAAAATTAAACTCTAAAAAATAAAAAAATAAAAAAATAAAAAAATAAAAAATAAAGAAATTTTTTGTTTTTTTTGATGGGGGGGAGGGGAGAACATATGGGAAGAGAGAGAAAAAATATTAAAAAGGGTGGATTGCTGCCCCCTTCGAGAGAGATGAAAAGGGGGTGGAAATCTGGCCCCCTTATCTTTTTTTTAATTTTTTTTGTTTTTATTGTTTTTGGTGTGAGAGAGATGAAAAGGGGGGCAGAAATCTGCCCCATTTCTATTTTTTCAGTAATGGTACTGAGGCAAGTACTGTAGGGACTTGCCTGAATACTATAGAACTCGGCATGTTTTGCTCGAGTTCTATAGTACTCACAGGAGTCTTATAAAACTCGGGCGAGTCCTACAATAGTCGGGCAAGTCCATGTGGTACTGCCCGAGTACTATACATGTTCCCACGTACCCAAGCGCGTACATGGGAACTTGCTTTGGCAACATGTCAAGGCCGAATAGCTCTATCGTGTCAGAGTGGACTTGGCTAAGTTATCAGATACTGATAAAATGCGAAAGGAAACTGTAGAGAAGATATGATATAATAAAAAACTATTGGCCTTAAAAAATTCTCTTAATATGTTGTTTTGCAAATATTTCAAAAGCAAAAGATTTAAAATGCAATACACCAGAGGAATAGGATGCCCTATTATTTTAGATATATTTATTCATTTGTAGTGTCATCCAATTGTATAAGATGTGCATAGAAGAAAGAAACTTGAAAACAGTTGTACCCACTGAAATGACGGTAATTCTGAGAGGAAAACGAAGAGCCTTTTTTCATATGAAAAAATGCTTCTATGGAATTTGTTAGTACAATGTTGAAACATTCCTAAGTAGTGATTTAAAAATTACCAATCCATTGCAGAATTTCCCATGTTGACTTGGAATTTCCCATGATTATGGGGCTGGAAAACCCCATAATTACTCAACTCTTCCCAAGTTTTTTCAAAATAAAAGATTTTTCTTATTAAAAAGTGTGATTGTGCGAGATCTGCCTTGGACTGACCAAGTTTTACCCAGGTGAATCAGTCTCATATCCCAGGTGAGTTGGAGCTTGAGTCTAACTTCTTAGACACTAGTTGTGAGGGAGCAACTTTACTCTTTCGTGCAATGTCCTTAATAAAGGTAAACCACCTTATAATTTATGGGTGGGGAGCAATGTTTCAAAAAGTGGACTGCCCAGCACCTGGGTGGCCGCCTAGGCGGTTCTAGGAGCTTGGGCGCATTGCCTAGGCCTAGGCGCTAAAAAAAAGCTGATATCCTTGGGCACCTGGCTAGGCGCACGGAAACCCGTCTAGGCGGCCTCCCAGGGCCTGCGCCCCGCCCAGGGGTAGAAATGCTCGTCGTTGAGGGTATTTTTGGGTCATTTTTTTATACTAAAGATGCAAAATTGTAGGTTTTAGGTTCATTTGAAACCTAAACGCCATTAGAGCATATTTTAGAAAGAGAAAAACCCAAAAAAAAAATAATTCTACTAGGCTGCCCAGGCTCTGGGCACCCACCTAGTCGCTAGGCGGCCTGGACCCCCCCCTGATTGCCTAGGTGTCGCCTAACAAGTTTTGAAACACTAGCGGGGAGAATGCCTGACCCTAATTTCTTTAGAGTGTGTTGCTGGATGGCTTGTCCATTAGACCCGTCATGGAATTTAACATGGATCAGAAGGGTTGAATTTTGCTTCCATAGGTTATTTTCAAAACCAAATGCTTGTAGATATCTTGAGTGGAGATTTAATATAGTCATCAAAGCATTATTTTGAAAGGGAAGTTGACCAAAATACATGTAACTCATCAACTATTTAACATTTTTAACCATTTTCAACTATTTCAACTAGTGATTTAAAAAACGGATCGGTGCCCTGGATTAGGCACGTCAAAAACCCATATGGGTCGGTGAATCGGCGATCCGGATCGGGAATCAGCCGACTCGGTCCGATTAAGCTCTAAAAAAATCCAAAAAAATTATTAAAATTAATTTTAAATGTTGTCTTTTAGGAATCCAATAAGAAATGAGGGTACTCCATTGTTAACTTTCACTTTTTTCATCAATTTGTGAATATTGATATGTTTTTTCTCTGTATAAACTTATGTTAACCATTAAATTTACATCACACATAAGAAAAATCATATAATTATCATGGATAAAATATATAATCATACATGGACTACTATAAAGTGTAGATTTAATCGACTAACTAACTAACTAACTATAATCCAAATTTATTTCAACCCAACTAACTATAATGTTATATGCTGAAATTAAAATTGTTGGTTTAAATTTTATTATTATTTTATTATACAAATAATAACAAATCCAAAATATTTTGTAATACGATCTAATTTAAAATGTATTATTGAGAACTGTAAGAAAGATAATAAATTACATGATTTATAATGCAAAAATTAATAAAGAAAATAAAAAATTTGGTTAGAAATTATTAGAATGCATATCAATTTTCAAAAGAACACGTTAAAATTTAAATTTTTTAGAGTTCTAGAATTAATAGAAAGAGAAAGATTTCAAATGGAATAAATTTCTTTGAAAAAAATTAATTTTTTTAGATTTATAGAATAAATTTAGTAAAAAAGATTGTAAATAGAAAGAGAGAGACTTCAATTTTTTTTTTTTTAAAAGTTATTTTCTGCTTATTTTTGTGGTCAACAAAAATAAAATAAAATATGTCCAAGGCGGAATCGAACTTGAGAAGTGAAGGCTCTACCGTGGAAGTGATAACCACTCCGCCACATCAACGCAAGTGTAATTGCTTTCTATATTAATAGTACTTATTCAAATTTTGTCATAATTTAACGCACCGTAGGAATTATCCCACATCCATCAGCGAGTTTTAGTTTTGCGTCTATAAATTGCTTTGTAAGTTCCTAAACTGTTGCACACGTGCGCCCGAGGTTGCCATCCACGTGCGGCCGGTGGGTAACGGTAGTTTCCCACATGTGGACTACAGAGAATCGGTGTTGTTTTGGCACGTGCTAAGTCGCTACGTGACATCATACGGGTGATTTTTACCCGTGTATGACGTCACACAAGCGGTTCACTGTGCAGAACCGGCCGGTTCTGTTCTAGAACCGGGTGGTTCCCGATTTTACACTGGAATCGACACGAGGTAATCGATTCCCGTGCCGACTCGGGCGAGTTCATTGCGACTTGCCGATTTTTAAATCACTGATTTCAACTCATGATCGTTTGTATTTTGTTGGGCTTTTGAAATTAAATCAGAAGATATTAGTGAAATGCTAAGTACTCCATCTTGACTGTGTTTGGATAAATTTCCCTAATTAAAATTTCAGCATTTGTCATCAATGTTCTAAAAGCT